ACAGGAGAATTTACTCACCTGTTTTTATACCCTTGTTACAAAACCATTCTGCTCTCATGGGCCAACCATTTCCCAAACACACAGCCCAAGTGCCTGGGCTGCAAATGAGGGAATTTTATTTGGATTAAATGTTCCTGGACTATTGCTGAACCCCAGAGGCAGGCATAGCTGCTGCTGCTCTGCTACCCTCATCCTCAGGGATTCTGCCCTGCTTCCTGGGGAACCAAACCCAGAGCTGGACATACATTTGTATCAGTCTGAAAAGGGTCACAAATGTCCGTCTGACAAAACACATAGCGATTGGATCCCTTCATGCCCCTTTGCACCCTCTGGAGTCTGCAAAACCATGGGCTACTTGGTATATTCTTCACCATCGCGTGCTCTCCAAAACTCGAGGCAAATGACATTTTACAGCTGACCCATAAACAGTTTACCTATCAGGGTATCAGTTTAAATATTGATTAAATCAAGAGGTACAGCCTGCTGATAAAGCTGTTGATAACCCATAAGAGTAATTTGCTACAAACAATGTGTTCTTGAATACCAGCAAATGTCCTTTTACAGTTACGCTTAGACCAATGGGTCATACTGGTTTAACTCTACATAGTCCAGCCCTTAGTAAATATTACCCTTACCAATGTCACATTTGTCTCCAGTCTTCCCAGGTGGGCAAAGGCACTTCCCAGTCTCTGGATCACAAGGAGCATCTCCGCAGTCGCACCGACGCTTGCACCTCTCTCCAAACCAGCCCTGGTCGCAGCCTGACAGCAAGAGCACTTTTTAAGACACGTATTTGAATGGCAAGGTGTTCATTAAGCCAGAGGAGTTTTCCCAGGATGTCTCAGAGGAAAACTCATAAACTCTCCACTGAAGGTAGTGTAAATGCCAAGTTTAATGAAGAATCGAACATAGTGGAATAGGCATAATATTTATATGAACTCTCCTTATGTTGGGTTCGTCTAATCTAACCCATCAAAGGTATCTGTAAATCTGTCCCAGAAATGTAACTGGCACTTATTTTCATTTTTAATTAGAACTCTCTAGAAGACCATTCCATAACACTCAACAGGTCTGACATGCACCTATTTAATAATCTTATTTGGAGTTTTAGAAGCAAATTTAGAACCAGTAAAAGGGACTTATTTTTAATAAACCACATGTGGAACTCATTGCTGCAAGACATCACGGAGACCAGGACTTTCACCATTATTAATCAGAACCAGATTAGTTAATTTATAAGGAAATGAGAACACCCAGCTATACAACAGGTAAACTCGCCCAAATTCAGTGTTTCAGGATATTTGTAAAGCTCAAAATATGGAAGAAGTTGCTCTCAACAAACAAATATTTGAGTAACGACATGGGGCTTTTTGAGCTTTATTTTGGTTTTGTTTGTTCATTTGTTTTCTTCTTTTACATCAGAGGGGTATAAGTACCTTTTTCACAGTGGACACCTTGATAACCCAAAGGACAAATGCACTGCCCCGTCACTGCATCGCAGCTCCCTCCGTTTTTACAGGCACATGCATGAAGACAGCTTAGCCCATAAAATCCAAGGGGGCACCCTGAAAAATTAAAGTATCAAGTGAGGAAGGTTTAGGAAGAAAAACATACACCCCTTTAAAAACCTCTGTATTCTCAGCTATATTCTCTGGGTGCCAACGAAAATGATATTTACTATTAACTCTAAGAATGCCCTGTGCTTTTAAACTTGTAGCACCCCAGCATCAGAGAGAAGCAAGTTACTCAGATCTGGAAGCAGTCGGGCGATCTGGGAGACCTGAAAAAGGTTAACTGACCCGGCGAGGTGTTTACGTGACTAATCTGAATCCCTGCTTCCCGTCATGGTTGGAAAACCGGGCACCCAGGGTGTATCCACTTACTGTGCTCGCAGGAGCGGCCGTAGTAGCCCTCGGGGCATCGGCAGCAGCCCGTGAATCTGTCGCAGGTGCCATTGTGCTGGCACGAGCAGTCCAAGCCGCAGTCAGACCCGTACTTCCCCGGGAGACATTCTGCTGGCAGGACATGGACAGAAAACCAGACAATCAACCAAACAAAAAGTAATCACCGACTTCACCCAGAAAAGCTCTTATGTGATAGTTTGTATAGCTGAGATGTGATGTCCATACAATAACTTGCAGACCCGAGAAGAACGTTTGTTATGAAGACACAGCATTTCTGCACAGCTATTTACATACTTTGATGAGTAGTAATCTATATTATATAGGTGTTCAAACAGCAATTTCCTTGTACTTTTTATAGTCTACCTTTTTTAATTTGTCTCTTCATGTAGTCAATGTCGAACCCGCACCATGTCTTGTAAAGCTACCTAGTAAATGGCATAAATGGTATCTTCTATTTTTTTTTCTATATCTGCAGCAATATTTTCTTTTAGGCACTTTGAAAGTGTGAAAGAAAACATGAAGCTTTTCCTCCTCTGTGTTATCATTGGAGTTCACACTATTCCAATTCCTAATAAAACCAGAAGGATCTCTTTTTCACACATAGCAACAGACTTTCCATGTATAATGAGATATCTGCTTTTACAGAACTAAACACGTCTCAAATTACTGAAAGCCAAGTCATGCAAAAGTGACTGTGCCAATATAATTAACCTAGGCATCATTTCTGCATAAGTTAACTTCCCACTGCTGTGATAATTTGAATCTGGGCAGACTAACTTAAATGAGCGTGGCCGTCCAAATAATCAGATTCATAACTCTGCAAATGTCAGACAAGATCTTTCAAGAACATCATATCTAATCACTAGAAAAATGATGCCTGATTAGCTGTCTTTGATTTCTAGTCAAAACACACTCAAAACCACACTGCTGTGGAAATCAAGACTCAATTTCCAATAACTTGGCTCTGTCAAAAGATAAATAGCGAAGCTCTTTCTAGTGATATAACACACAGTCCCTTATACAATGCACGCATGTCTGCCCCCCGTGCCTGGCTTCAGAGACATTATCGAAGCACATCTAGAAGATACACCCACGATCTACTACTCCACGTGGGGATACCTGCATGACCCCACTGAGGCTTTGCGACCCAAATGCAGTCTACGGGTGGTTGCAGAGACTTCAAGGAACAGACAGAGAGAGATGAACACAGGTGGTCTACGCAACATGAAGGTAGCCAGTTATTCATAAACTGCACTTTTTTAGTGCCTGTCCACAGTGGTATTCACGTTGTGAATGGCTCCATGAAGTGAGCATCTTTCCTTCTCTCCCTGCTCCTTCTCTGCACATACGCATGCCTGAAGTAGGTCTCTGAGCGTTCTCAGATGCAAAGCGTAACAATTGCGTCGGAGAATGCTGCTAAAAAAGTGTCATTTCTATATGACACTTTTATATAGGGACACTCCCCGTTCACAATGAGCTCTTGGTAAAGATACGTGTGGAGTTTGAGGTGGATATTCTACAGATGTCAGGGACAGAAAGGCTGTAAATGAGGGCCTGGGAGTGCGTTGGGGAGATTGCACCAGGGCAGTTACGATGTAATGATGACATTTGTCTTGAGTGTGAACTCAGAACTAACTACTCAGAACTAAATATCTACATTTCATACCGGTAAACTCATGGTTTCCTGAACATTTAAGTCCGTAACTATAGCGATATCTCTTATCTAGAGAGAGAAATAGGAACACAGAAATGCAGAATGACTTTTGGGAGATGGACAGAAGGAAAGACGTGGAAAGACTCTACTCTGGGCTGGCAGGAGAATTTCTGGAGTGAAAACTGAGCTTATTCTGTTTAAGTGTGCTTTGTCTTGTGTAAGGGAGAGCTGTCATGGAGAAGTAAGGGCAAGACAGCAGAACAATCTCAATTGCTTTGGACAGATGTTGTCAGAACTGTACTAGGAGGGAAGTCAATACATGGGAAGTTCAACTGCAGTCCAACGTCAAAGGGAACAGAATAACAAGAGAGAACATAACAAGAGAGGAGGGAGATGTAGGCTTCTGCTGACCTCAGAGGAGCACGTGAAAGAAGATACAAAACAATGTTCTCACGAACAAAAGAACACAAAAGTGGGGCAGGAGAAGAAATAAGAGTTGGTGCAAAGGAATTTATGAGAGTTACAGAGCAGCAGTCACGAGAAAACCGTCTCTGAAAAAAGACCTAAAATTCTAACTAGAGGCAGTTCTGCCTGAGAGAAGCTAGAGATGAATGCAGCTGGGAGGGAGTCTACATAAGCAAAAACTGTCCCCTTTTGTGGGCCTGTAGACACTGCAAAGCCCTGCTTGAATGTACACATCCACTATCATCAAAACAGAAAATTACCCTTCTCACACGATCTTCCTGTCCAGCCGAGCCCACAAGTGCAGTTGCCATCCACGTGGTCACAGATACCACCGTTCTGACAGGTACACGTCAGGTGGCAGTTGGGGCCATATTGTCCCTGGGGACACACTACAGAGAATTAACAAAGTTTGAAAAAAAAAAAATAAATTTGTATTCCAAAAAGCATGAAGGCGACAGGGAATAAATACAAACACATGCTCCCCACAGAGTACCCCAAGTGCCTGGTGTCTCCTGAGGGTTGTAGAACACTCCACTGCATGCTTAGCAGCAGTTTCAGCCAAACGCTCTCTGTCTTGCCATATCTCCTCACTTGGCTTCACCCACATTTGCTCCTCTTCCTCTCCTCCCTTTGTCCCAACTCTCAACTCCTCCTCTTCAGCAAATTCTCCCCCATCACTTTTTCAGCTCAAGCAATTTGCTTCTAAATTTAGTCCCATCCATCCACAGCACCCTCACACTGCTCACGTTGTGTGGTACAAACTACCCTTTTCCCCGTCTTTATGCTCTGTTTGGACTGCAGACTCTGAAAGCAAGTCATTTTGGCTTTGTGGAGAAACCAGTGCAATGGTACCGAGTGTGGCGGAGCAAAGCGGTGAGATGCGAGGAGGAGATGGGGACAGATAAAGGCAGGGTGATGGAGCGGAGAGGGACCAGGGCCGAGTACAGTAAACTGCAATGTTATCAAGCAAAGGCATTGGGAAACACAGTTACAAACAATGTTTGGCGTTGAGTTTTATTTGCTGGTTGTTTTAAGTATGTCACCCACTGACGAGATGACCTTGGGTCCCGCTTTGTTACCTTGCTGACAGCTGGGTCCCATTTGGCCGGGAGGACAGGTACACTTGCCAGTCCGTGGGTCACACTGACCTTTACCACATGCACAGAACAGGGTGCAGTCCTTCCCGTATCGGTTTTCAGGGCAAGCTGAAGGAAACACAGTCTTTTGTTAAACACCCTGGGTATCCAGTGCCAGCGTTCATTTTTAACATAGGCAGGATCTTATAGGTAGAGTTGGCATTGTTTTTATTCCAGCTAACATGCTTCAAAGTGACAACTATGAAACCAACGCCCATCCAAAGACATGACTCTTTCATCCTCTGAAACTTTACTTGAGGTTATAAATATAATCCATGGTTTCACATGGAACATTTAGTAGGTTTCCTACCAAAAAGGTGAGTGTACAACTGAAATACCAGCTGCTCATCCTTCCAGCTAAATCTGTCTTTCCTTCCTTAATATCGATGTTGTCCTATGCTGAAGAGCTAAGCTATAGGCTACTAAACATTAAAACATTGCCTTTCTGTGAATAAGCTGGAGAGAACTTCACGGAGACCATAGCTTTGGAAATAGCACAGAAATTCAGCCACACAATTTAGCTCTGAAATAGAGAAGCAAGAGTAGGGTTGCCATGGAGTCTTTACCAGTTTTACCATGACAAAACTTGATCTTTTTCCCATTTATTGAAACTAATGGCACCATAGTGTGAAGCAAAATATTGAGATAATTTCTCAACCTAGAAATTTTGGACAGGAAGAAGGAACTTGAGCAATTCATGCTGAGCTGGCTCTAGAAATAAATTTGGGCAAGCAGGTTGTAATCCTGGGATGAGTGTCCTTGCTTCTACGCACACAGAAGAGAGGGAAAATATTTTGCAAGAGATTTTTTACAAAGCTGGAATTCTGATTTACAATTCAAAGAGGAGGTAGCTGGGTTCTGTCTGTTTTTCTACTGACAAGCTCTTATGCAGATTATTCTCTCTGCTAGTTTCTGAAAGAAGCAGAACATGAATGTTGGCTTACTTTTACTACAGTCGGCTCCAATGAAACCAGGTGCGCAATCACAAGTTCCTGACGCAGGGTCGCAACGGCCTCCATTCATGCACTTACAGGGGTTTTGGCAATTTGAACCATAAGTACCTTTTGGACACCCTGTTTTAAAAAAACCAAAATAGCAATTAGGCTATGTTGCTAACGGGCCCATTGCATTTCATGTCCTAAGCACTTTGCTGCTTTCAAACAAAATTAGATTTTAATTTTCTAACTCCATTCACTTCCAGAGGGCCAGGAGTAGGCATTGACAAGCAATGCACTCCTTAGGGCAGCAAGGCAGCGCTGACTTGCAATGCCAAACCCCTGGAGAGCCGGACCGACTGCTGCTGCCGAGCCTGGTCCGACTGCTCCTGGCTCTGCCTGCTCTTCCCAGTCCTCGTACGCAGCAGTGGCAAGAAAAGCAAGCCCAGTTCTTCAAGGTTTCCCTCTGGGGATTTCTGTTCCAACTCAACCTGTTCCCCCTTTCCCTCCTATGGCAGAGATGGAGAGATTGGGCCCTGGTCCCTCTTCCTTTGGGCAGCAACAGCCTGGTTTGCCTCAGATGGTGAGAAGCCGTGAGCCATCTCTGCCGCTTTCAGCAGTCATTTTAGCTGGTCAGTTATGGGTACTGGGGCAGGTGTCGTCTTTTAAAAATGTTTCAGTTGGAGAAAGCTTGTTTCCTCTATTATCTACTCTTCCCCTCCAAACTGGAGCTGGCATTGCTCTGGCCCATCTAGTGGGCTGTGGATGGAAGACTCTGAAAACGCGCACGCGGCAATAACACAAAATTTCAGAAGACACCTTCTCAGAAGATAGATACAGGAGAGAGAGAGTTTAAATGCAAAGCTTGAAAATTTACTGAGGAAATAACCAAAGCAGCTGTATTTTGTAACAAACAGAAGAAACATTAGACCTGGATGGATCGTTGAGCCAGTGGTACATGGCAATGAGCCGTCCATGAAGAGGTTTTCCAGGTGGTAGCGAGTATTTCTGGTTTCTTTTTGGACAGCTAATGTTGAAAGAGTGCTGAATACAAGATCAGGAAGATATAAATGCATCTGCCACGCTTAGCTCACGGCTTCAAGACCCTCTTTAGAGTGATGGAGACTGGAACTGAGGCAAAGAGCTGGGCAGAGCTGCTAGGCACGTGCCTCCGTCTCTCGGGGTTGCCCCCAGCATGCTACCACTGAACTCTGGAGATGCAGGTTATTCTCCTCATTTTCCAGTGTACTAGAAAAGGGACAAGCTGGTGCTTTTAGAGAAACACGATCATCATCGACCAGTTACACTAGTGCTACTACCTCTACATGTCATTTCTTTGCTCCTTCCTTCCTTTCCCCCTGGCAAAAGGAAAGCCTATGGCTACGTTGGAAATCTGGTTGAATATATATTTGTACATGTCTCCAAGCAACAGATCTCTCACAATCTGTGCATAAATAACTTTAAATATTTTCTCCCTTTTCTAAAGGCATGAAAGCATGGCCTGAGTGGCTGGAGAAACCTCTAGATTTTTTGAACTATTCAATAGAGAGGGAGAGCTTATGGTGAAGCTTTAAAGGGATGTCTTTTAAAATAAAACTGAAAATTGGCTTCTGCTCAAATCAGGATAGCAGATCATCAAGACTAAACAGATACACACTTTTATAACATGTGGATACTCTCCCCAGCCCTTCTCAACCATGGCTTCTTCTCAATGAGTACTTCGTCATCAGTGCTTCCAGCTGTCAGTACAGAAAATCTGTTTCATGTGCAAACCCTGGCACCAAGGAGTGAGCCCTGCAACATCTAGTTCATTTCCACCAAGACATGAAGTTAAGGACACACCCAGAGTCCATGATTTAACTGGACTCTAAGTGAGTTTCTCTTTTCCTCCCCCCTTTCCTTTCAGTCATCATTTGGCCTTTCTCTTTTTAAAATTCTGTTTCCCACACTCCCAAAGATGCTGCTTCTCCCTGGCAAAGCTTTCAGAGTTGTTCCTCAGCTCAAGACCAGCAAGAGCTGCTCCATTAATGAAAGAGATGTGGTAATTCCCCTCTTAACAATTTATTTACCCCTGCAGCATTTTATTTCTTTTGTTTCAACAGGGAGCAGGCACAAGCAGGGCAAACATATCAGCTGCGACGTTCGTGTGATTATTAACGAGGCCATCTCATCTGTTACTACTTTGCAGAAGAACTTCTATGCAGATAGCTAGGGCAATTTACACAGTGTCCTGCCATTTAAGTAGGCTCCTCTGCCTTTATAAAGAGGGTTTGCCTCTAACCACCAGTTATCTCATAAAGACATTTTCCAATTTAACAGTTTCCTGTGCATCTGACTTATGTTTTTCTGAGAACGGCAGGAGCGGCAGCCAGATTTCTAACTCATTTCCTGATTTTCTCCTTCTGGCTTTGGGTGGGTTTGCCATGACCAAGAGCTCCTAAATCTTTTTCATACCAACTGCATACACTGGGGCTTTTCTCACCAATGTTATTAATTGCATTGTCAAAAAATCACTTTTGCAGCACCCTGTTACCTACATCTTGAAGGTGAAGCTGGTGAGGTCTTTCTGGCTCAGGGTTCACTCAGCCCAGTAAATGTCACAGAGACGTACCATGGTGGTTTTGATTTTTTTTTTTTTTTTTTTTTTTTTTTTATCCATTACACCACCACTTACTGCTTTTTATTCACTCAAGTAGGTCTACCCATCCACCGAGTTATGGACAATTGATGGGAACCTTATTGCTAGTTTGTCTGCTTCCTCTGGATCCTGCCAAGAGACTGTTTCAGCTCTTCACTCCAAAATTTGAGAACATGAAAGCCTCGTTGCTCTTGGCTCCTGGAAATTTGACTTCCCAGCCAACTACACCTTTTATAGATACTTTCTTGAACCTTTTTTCACAGTACTATAAATATAGCAAGACTTGCCAGAAACCGTTTCCAGCAGCATCCAACCACATGTTGACTGGACTGAAGCCCATTTCACGTCTTTGGGAGCGGCTCCCTACGCTGTTTTTAATATTATATTGAAAGCTTCTTCATCCTGGAGCAGCGCCAGTTCTCCCTGTAGTGAGGATAGCGGGAAGATGGAGTATTCCCACCAAAGTCACGCTAGCTATCCTTGGTTATCAGACAGTCATTTCAAAATCAGGTCCATAATCTCTCACTCCACTGACCTAAACCTAAAAATAACCCACACTTAAACTGTTTGCCTTCCATTTTTGTGTCCATCTATGCAACGGTCAAGAGTGGCATTGGGGAGAATAGGAAAAATATCCCACAGAGATGCAAGAAAATTTTTTCTCTCTCTGTGAACCTCCATCATTCCATTATCTCTCCAGTAAATGTTTAACAAAACTATATTTATTAAGTGAGAATTTGCCGTGCAAGATGCTGTGTATTTTGGGAACCTAAGAGAACACAATGCCATGAAGCCTCATGTCTCATACACCATAGGTTTAATCCTAGCTACGCAGAAGTCCCTGGCAAAATCCCCTCTGAATGCAACGAAACACAGATTTCATTTTGTAAGCAATTTCTTTTATATCAGAACTTCAGTGTAATTATTACTGTTTTAAATTTTAAAATTCTAAAATAAAATCTTAAGGATCTAAGCAAGTTCCAGGACACTTACTATAATCTATGGAGATGTAGTACTACACGCACAGGTAATGACTACTGAAAGATTGCTACATAAAAGTAATAGGCTAACCATGATTAAGTCTTTTAAAATGATACTGTTAAATAGCTGATCTCCACTACTGCTCTACTATAATATTTATTATAAACTAGTGTGTAATGGATCCAGATGGCTCTGGCCTAGATGTTGAAGGCCGGATTTCAATCTCAGTTACAGTGAGAACTGATGTACAGAGGAGAACAGAATCAATCCTTACATTTAAATTTGTATTTTAAAGAATAACTTGTGATGACATGATGGTAATACAAGTGCCCACCTCTAAAATGTGCCTCTCTCCTATTTCTATTCAAGGAATAAAGCACAGGTTTAACCCTTACTAGAGTCGCATACATAGCAGTTGGCCTTTGTATCCAAATTGTCACCCAAAAAAGCAAGCAAACCAAACAGAGCCGCACTGGATTCCTAAGGAAGGAAAATCAGCGTTTGCCAAAGAGAGA